GGGAACATAAAAATCATTGGGATTTACAGATCCCCAAATTCTAGTTAATGTCATTCTACTTAGGTTTGAGGAACTTTAACCAAATTCTTAGAAAACCACAATTGTATGTTGTATTTTAGGAGATTTGAACATTAACATTGCCTATAATGAATTGCATGATGTACTAAAGAGTTTCAATCTCTGTGATGTCGAGTTAGGGCCAACACATACTACATCACATTCCAGCTTTACTATAGACCACATCATTGCAAACATTGAAAGAAAGAAAGAAATACTCTTTAAATTTATTTTTTATCTAGTTGATCACACTGCTCAAATCATTGAAATAATCAATTGCCCCATTAGCCTTGAATAACTTAAATACACATCCACTCATGATGCTAGTGATAACAATTGCTAAATGAATGTCTCCTAAAAGTGGAATGGACTGAAGTACCTGCTCAGTGGTAATGATATCAAGGAGAAATGGAACTTGTTCTTGAGGACATAAAATCATCATTTAAATATTGAATGTTCCATTATCAAAAGGCAAATTAATGTAGTGAAAAAAATCCAAAATCACTAGTGAAATTATTGTACTTAGAAATAAAATGAAAAACATGCACTACCTGTTCAGAGATACTAAGAATCCCTATTATAATGTGCAGTACAAACAACTCTATGCACTTTACAGGCTAAAATTGATAAATTAGCAATCTTATCACTTAAATGATAAAATTAGTAACTGAACAAACAAATATAAAACATACTGGAATATAATGACAATGGGACAACTCAGACTCACAAAAACATACATCTGCTATATGAATGCATGATTGTTGGTAATTCTTTTGATATTTTAGGACCTTTAACTATTATTTCTTAAAAATTAAAGCAGCACATAGTAAGCAGCAATAATGGAAATCCCTTGTCTTCTGGAAGTGCAAAATCTATGTTTCTCTATCACACAAATGCTAGTACTGAAGTTAATCCACTGATAAATCCCTTTCAAAATAGTTGTTCATCTGGGATTAATGAAATATTTTCTATCATTTTTACAAAGTGCAAGCCTGATTTTAACATATTAGTTAATTTAATAACTTCATCTCTATCTGTATTCACTATTCTAGAATACCCAAAAATAAGTATTTTGAGACCATTTGCTGAGAATAAAAATTCACAGGATGTGAGCAATTTGTTGACCTGCAACCATAACTTCAGTATTTAGCAAACACTATAAAAAAAGTTATATCAGCATAACTTAATTGTTTCCTGGAATATAATAATACTATCCTTAATAAATAACACATGGCTTCAGGAAGGACTTCTCTACCACCCCTGCTGTTGTTGAAATCGTACATGAAATTATTGGAAATTTGGAATGAAATAGGAAACGGAGGGTACATTCATTGATCTTTCAAAGGCCTTTGACAGCGTATCTCGTGATAAACTATTGAGAAAACTATATTGTTATTAAATAAGGCATTAATGACCTCATTAGATCATGCTTCACAGTATGTAAGCAATGTAAAGAGATTTTCTGCCAAACTGAAAATTTTGTATTCAAAGTTCAATCAAATTTTTATTCAATTACCACAGGTGCTTCACAAGGATCTGTGCTTGGACCTTTGCTTAATAAATTGTTGTTGTTGCTGTAATTAAAATATTAATAATAATAATTATTATTATCATCATCCATCATCATCATCGTCATCATCATTATAATCTGGTTAAATTAAACATGGTCATCATTGTATCTAATTGGAAGCCCGCCCTATTGAGTGTTTACTCTTAGAAATAATTTTCTGCGGGCAATACAAATATTTTGACAAACATCGTTAATATTTACTGCAATATCGAGTAATTGTCTTTCAGGTGTCGTCCGTAAATTAATTAGTGCTAAAAAGGGGGAGGGGTTTGATGCAGCGTTAAATGTGATAGTAAGGATGGTGGGGTGTTAGCATAACGTTTCTCATCGCCGTTTTTCTTCAATATTTGAAGAAATAATTTCGTTTATTTAGTTTTACACTAAATTCTTAAAATACCGGTATTAAATTAAATTTTAAATGTAAATAAATTAGAAAGTTATGAAGTACAAATTGTTACAATAACGCGTGATATTACTGATGCGTTATTAATACCTTACAGAGGGTGAGAGGGTTTTCAAAATACTCCAAATTTGCGATAGGCAATTTATGGACGGCTCCTTAACTGGGACCTTTTTGGCGATATTTTCAGCAAAACTGAAACGAAATTTTTAACAAACATGTTGATCCCATTATGCGAAAGTGGTTAGTAGATACTTTTCGAATTGTCTTTATCGATGTTGGGGATACATTCATACATGAAAATTAGTATTACACGGTAATCCTCTAATTAGTTCTAAATTATGTAATAGACAGTTAATTATTAAATAAGAACAGTAACTCTCCACTTGCAGGAATGTTGGCAATGCCGAAGGAAAACGTAGATAGTCAAATTGACAAGAAAGAGAAGAAGTAGAAGGGTCTGAGAAAAGAGTGGGAGAAGTGATAGTGCGGAACAGTCGGAACAGTGTCGAACGAGACGCACAGAGTCAGAAGGAAGGTTATGGAATCTGCGTAAGTTGTGTCGTGCAGATGTCATGTATCTGCAGTGTGTGTAATGAGTAAAGCAGTGGGTAAATATTGTACGAGGCAATTTGAGGACACGGTGCATTTCTGTGTGAAACAGATGAGCAATTAGTTTCGCCATCCTGTGGCGGGCTAGTTATTGCGATGAAGTTGTGTTAGTGTGATCCCCAGGTGATCTCCGCAGTGCTGGTTTGTTTTGATCAGCAATGCGCAATTGGTGAAGAAAATGACAGGTGAATGCACCGCTAAAGAACTTCAAGAGATATTGCTGTATAGTGCAAGACATGGAGATATAAAAATGGTTCAAGAATTATTGATAGCTAGGAAAGAAAACAAAATAGAACTTGACATTAGCTGTAAAGGTAATTATTATATAAGCATAGATTACAGAACTAAAAAGCAGATTAAATATTTACTGTTTTATCTTTTAATAGGTAAAAGCAAAAGCAATTTAGGATGGTCTCCTCTGCATTTATCTACGTACTTTGGCCATGAAGGTGTGGTGGAATTATTGCTGTCACATGGTGCTGATGTCAATGTCGTGAATGATGCTGGTGACACACCCCTTCACAGAGCTGCATTCATTGGAAGAGAAGTAATTTTAATTTTTGAAATAAAAAAGAGAAACAATGGGTTGTTAAGCATATTTATAAACTTATTGCAAGGATGCAGCATGATGCAAAGCAATGTTTTGAAGAGAAGAACAGGTTGACAGTTCAGGAAGGGCAATTTTAATATATTATTATGTCTTTCAGGATTTAGTCCTTCTCTTACTGCAACATAATGCAGATGTTGCTATAATAAATGGTGAAGGGCAGACACCACGAGATGTAGCAAAAAGTGAGGATGTTGCCAAATTATTATTGGCTGCTGAAAAAACAGAAGCAAGACATAAAGAGGAGGAGCTTCTAGCTGCAGCGAGGGAAGGAGATCTTGAAATAATGAACAAGTTGGTAAGTATACCTGAAGTGAATCCATGAATATATTTGTGAAAACTTTCATTCCAATGCCACATTATTTATTCTCCTGTTTTGTTATTCACATTTTCTAATTATTGTCATTGAATCCATAACTGAGAGGTTGAATCCATAACTTAAATGTTGCATTTAAATATCACATCAATTGCTGGTTTTGTGTAAATAATTTGCTTGAATGGGTTTCAAAGTCAGGATTAACCTGGTAACAACCAGCTATGCTTTTATAAAATTGTTCTTTGTAACAGTCACTAATTTTATCACACCTCAAAATAAATTTATGGAGTTTTTTAATAACTTCATGTAGTAATCAGCAGTCAGCAGAGGAGACATATTTGCTCCTGTTGTGGAGCAGATGTGGATCCAGCTGATCATTTGGTGGGAGAGAGGGGTCATCATATATTTTTGTTAAATAATAAACATATTTGTTATTTTATTGTATATTATTTATATACTGTAGATATGATACTACACAATATTATTGTTTAAATAATTTCATAATTCAAACAAATGTTTAAAACAATTTTGCCAAATAAAGGAATGTAATTGAAAACTCTTGGCCTTTTGGGGGGGCCCCCCACCTGGATCTGCCAGTGTAATAGAACCCTTCAGGGATGAATATTTTCCACATTCTTTTACCCCTATGAACACCTTGTTAGAAATTTTCTAAATTATACAATTTGAGGATTTATTATTCTGCATTGATGCGTTTTGTTTCATTTCAACTTTTAAAGCCAATAATTTGTAGTTTTTTAAGTCCAGAATTTATTTAATAGATATTGATAGATGGATTCACTATAGATGGATATAGATAGGTTTACTCATTGATTTCAACCCATTTAATTTATTTTAAAAAATATGATGAAATTGATTTTGTGGAAAATGCATTTATTCAATGTAAGAAGTGTGCAGAAGGATTCAAAGGATTATTTCTATTTTATGTCTAAATTTTATGAAGGGTTCTCATTTGTTTTTGATTATTTACCAAGGGTTTAAGGAAGTTACAATAAATATTCAGAGATCCTGTAGAGCCTTCTGAAGTACTTTAACACTACAAAAAAACAATAGTGGTGCTACAAGAAATCCTTTTTTGGGTTATTTCCAAATTCGCAATTTTTAAAAATTCAAAGAATGTGTAAGTGAGACCTGTGTTATTCCTTTAACCAATCCTTTTTCCATCTGAGGGGGGGAAAAATGGAATGTATGCATTTTATGTAATGCATGAATTTGGAGCTCAAATACACAAAAAAGACTTGTTTTCTCAAAAAAGTGTACATGATTCTTTTTAAAGAACTGATATGTAAAGGTTAATACCTACATTTTTAATTATGTAATTTTTAAATGTTAAAATTTTGCATTTAAAGAATATCTTTTGAAAAAAGTTTAAAAAAACGTATTTGCCCGTATATTACAAAACAATACATGAAAACTACTCAATTTTGTTGAAAAATTGTACATGACCTTTATATCAAGATCTGTCTTTAAGGTACAGATTTCATTCAGAAAAAAACCAAATCCTCAATATTGTAGTAGTAGGAAGATGCCAAATAAATGTGAAGTTTTGGAATTTTCGAAATATTAGAGATTTTAACGATAATGAGACCTGTACAGCGACCTCTTAAGCGATTTTTACGCTATCCGATGACAAATTTTAATTGAAAATAATGGATCCATTTTTGGGGAAATTTTAGAAATATTCAATAAAACAACCCTCAAAGTCGATATTTCCGTTTAAATCTCGGCGGGACTGGGGTTAATTTAAATCAAAGAGGAATATAAATTTTGGAGATAATCGGCCAAACAGTTTTCGTTGAGAGTCTGACGTTTGCGCTGACCATGGACGGACAGACGTTTTGCCGTCAATGAATTTTTGGGTGACAAGGACTTGCAAGACTTACATGACTACATGTGTTAGAGGAAGTAATTTATTACATGTAGAAACAAGATTTATTTTCACTTTTCCGTTACCAGGCCCCGGCAATGTGAGTTTTTCCGCCCTAAATTCACCCTATTCAGGCGTACGATTATAACAATACTTTCTTCTTCGGAAGTAAGGGCGAGAAAATAACTAGTCCAGCCATATTTGAAAGGGGAATACTTTATTGTGTGTGCAGATAATTTGTCATTTCTACTGCATTATAATTTCCATTTGTGACTAGCGAAATATTTCATTCAGTTTTATTTGTAGCTAGTGGTCCCGGCAATGCTTCGCTTTTGAAATGTATTACACTTCACACGCTGCTGGCCACATGATTGTTAATCATGTTTTACTCTACGCTCGGCAAAAATTTTAATAGACGAAAGACTCTCGCTAGTATGGGTTTGTTCTGTGTCCTGGTTTGGACATGGTTGTCAAGTATGCTATTGTTAAAACATTCTCCCTCAAGTTTGGTCATGCATTCGCCCTGACACTGACTTGGAGAAATTTAATTTACTTGTTCGAGATCACGTACAAGAAATAATTTCGCCCTGAGTTTGACAGATGCAGGGACAGAATATGCGGCGAAGACGCGCTTAATACTTTAGGGTGCGGCGGGTTGCGTAGAGCTTACTTTCAGAGGCGCTTGAAATAGTTCAGTATAAACGAATAAAATCGCCAACGAACGTGAAGTAAATGTTAATCATTTACCGTATACATGTTAGCTACTACGAACTCAAATTTAGTTGGACATTAATGTGTATAAAAAAATCAAACTGGGGAGAGGGGAGGCAAAATACAACATAACGTTAGAAGGTTTTCGTATGTAAATATAAGTATGAATCTAAGGGTCGTTTTTAATGTCTCTTATACGCACGTATATACAGAGTTATATTCGTAATATAGAGCAAGTTATGTAATGCTGCTCCAAAATACAGCGATTTTTCGACAAAAAAACTCATTGTGGGGGAACTGATATAGAACTACTAGTGCTACAGAATGGCATAGACCTTCCCGTATTAGTTTACTATTTCTTTTGGTATCGGCTAGCTTCTCGGACTTGCCACATACTCTTGCCGGCTACCATCTATCGCCAACCAATGTACATTTTTTTGACATTTTCTTAATTTTTCGGTTTCTTAATTGTAGACTAGAAATATTATTTTAACATTTTAACAATACAGACACGAGACGGACGGACGATTTGAAAAAAAACAAAAACAAAAAAAAACACTTTTCTGATGTCAGGGCACACTAAAACTTCTATTTCCGTTAAAATCTTTAAATCGATTTTCCGCAACATTACAGAACTTTCCCTATACTACGTATGTTACTCCGTATATAGAGCTTATACTATTATTAACGAAGAGATTATACTACCATTTTTGAAGGAACAATAAATATTAAAACCAACTAGTTTCTGGTCATACTTTAGTATGCTTAAAAATGTTAAAAAACACATGAGAAGACTGACCACGTAAGTTATTCATTCCATACAATTAAAAATAATAGTAAATTCTGAAGACTAATTTTTTTAAATTCATTTGAATATAGGTATTATAAATTCATTGCATTTGTAAAGAAAAAATCTGAAGGTTACAATCCTAAAAAATCAGAAGGTTTCACAAAAGAGCAAGTAATGAAGTTCTTGCAAAAGACTGACGATGACTTATACTTGCTTTTGAAGGTCATTCTTAGTTTTTCAGTATTTGGTCCTTTCTGTAGACAACTTGTATATTTGACCGTGGATAATTTACTAGAGAAAGGAATATATACGGGGTACATCTTTCTACGACAGTTGTTTAATTTATTCGTATTAACGTCATATTTTCCCCAAGATTTATGAGCACTGATGAAATATAAACGCGAAAGTCCGCTAACATATTTTTAATGGACTCAAGCATTTTAATGATTGTTGCTATGGACGCGTTGTTTAGATGATTTGTTGCTGAGAGACCAAGTGCGTCTTTACTAACCTAGCAAAAACGATATTTTCTTGGAATGAATACCCATTTATTTTTTTTAAATACCTCAAACATTATTATATTTGTGAATACATGTGCTTCAAATGATGTCTTATAAAGTTTGAAAACTTGAAAGTTTTATTTGAAAATTATCTCGAAATTCCGCATTGTCGGAAACGCTCAAACACCATTTTCTGGAAAATGACTTAATTTTTTTTTTTTGGTTTTAAACGTTAAAAGCTAAATGCACGGAATAACATGGCATCAATTTGATGTAATAATTTGATTTTCCAGAAATTTCAGAAATGTAGTTTTTTGAAACACTTATCATGTTAATATTTACATTGCCGGTGATTTGTATGCATTATTGCATTTGCGAGTAGGAGTGCAACAAATGAAGTCGTAGAAGCACTAATGGCTGTGCGGGTCGTAATTCTGCTACTTTGATCTAAAGCTGGTCTATTGAACTTTTACGTTTTTACTTTCTCTTGGTTCTATAGAGGGCTTATTCTATCAGATGAGAATCTTGTGAGCACACGTCAGGAGTAAGGAACACCAATGTAATGCCAAATATCTCTTTAAGATTAATGCAGGTGGCGTGGTGATATGCGCGTGATTGTGTATATTACGCGAATCCCGCCTGAGATATGGCATAATATTCTGGGGAAATACATCTTATAGTTCCCAGACTTTTGTACAAAACGAATTGTACGAATAATAAGTAAATCCCACCCACGTGATTCTTGTAAGCCTCTCTTTATTCATCTAGGTATTGTCTCTTCATATATGAGTCAGTGGTTTTTGTCAAAAATGACTTACTTAAGGGCGGGAATATATTTTCAGCAAACGCCGTTGTCTCTAACTACAACACTCTATGTAGTAATCATATTCATCAGGTGACAGTACCAACAGCTCACTACAAAAAATTCACATATAATACACGTACATTATTTTACATCTTGCCAGATGACATTAAACGATTAAATTCGTTACAAAAGTTTTAAGTCCCAAGTAAAATATTTTCTGCTGCACAACTGTTTCTATACAATTAGAGGCTATACCGAGCATCCAAAAGGAAAGTAATATTCATTTTAACA